ATATAACATGATATAATAATATCATACATATAATTATTAATATCACTTAACTTAAATGTGTGACAATCTGCAATCATTTTTTCATTTTTTTTAAAAATTTAATTAACATTTAGCAAATTTAAAAAGTAATAGTAACAATGGTCTCAAAATTAATTTAATAATTTTTTTTTTAATTATAAAGCTAAATACATTTATCACAAAAATATGTAATTTACACATATATGTATATACACACATATGTAGATTTTGTATGTGTATATACATACATATCTATACATTACATAATAATATTACAATATAATATTACATAATATTACATAATAAGTAAGCTATAATATTACATAATTAGTACAAGCCGTTTCTTTGAAAATAAAAAATATTTAATTAATTTCAAAATTATACTCAAAAAAATAATTTCTTAAATATAAGAAATAATTCATTTCAAAAAAATTTTCACATTTTTGTCATCATTATGCAATCAAATATAAGTTTAATAGAATAAGTGATATTGAGTTTTATATATATTTCTTGGCGGTAAGAAAGATTTCTCTTGAAAAATTTTATTGTAATATTGTACTACTATTCATATTGTATACATTTATGTTATATTAAATAAAGTACCCTTACAAGAAGGAATTCATAGAAGATATTGCGCTGAATATGATAAATTAGTCAGGGATAATTATTGCTTAATAATTTTATTATTCTTACGTGCGTTCTTTTACGAAATGTAGGCTCACCTTATGACACGATGCAACAATAATTATAATGTTGTTTATATTGATACGAAAATTGATACTAAAATTGTATATTGATATTAAAATTGCATAGAAATATGTATCTTTTGCTGTTATTTTTCAAACATTATAACACGTTATCTGTGATATAAATCAAGATCTATATTTTAGTTAAATATACATTTGAATAAAATTTAAATAATTACAGTTTTGAGCGCTTCTTGAATAAAAAGAAACATTTTAGTACATGTGACGTTTGATAAAATAAATCAAAATTTAAGTTTAAGCAGCATTAACACCTGGCAAATTTATTGAGAACTTGTATCAAAACAAACACATATTTTATTTACATGTAACACACATAAATTTTATATATACATATATATTAACGTATTTATTTATTTATTTATTTATAGACGTAATCTTATTTTCCAAATGGTTTTATTTTTCTTAATGAAATTTTGTCATGAGTTATAAATCTTGTAAAGTAACCTTTACGTAATCAAATTACTTTCTATATTTCTTTTTCCTGCTTTATTTTCTCTCTTTCTATCTTTCTATCATCCTATCTCTCTTGTTATCTCTGGTTTCTATTCTTTTATATTTTATTTCTTCTTTCCTTCTATTTTTTCTTTCTATCCTGCAATTTCTTTCTATATTTTTCCTATCTCTTTTCTTTCCATTTATCTTTTCTACTATTCTATCTCTACTCTCTATCCTTTTCTATACATTCATTTTTTGAAAATACAACACGTTGTGTTGTAACAAACATTTTTTTGACGAAAGAGACCATCATCTTCTCGCGGTTCCCATTGAGCAACAATATGTACGTAATCTATTAATGAAACTGCAATAAAATTGCTACTACAATAATAGTACTTTCCTTTATTACATTTATATTTTTACTTTTTTTAATGTTATTTATATTTGCGATTGATGAAATAAAAAGTGTACTCATTGAATAGTTACAAAACAAATAACACTGAAGTTAACTTTTAATCGTTTTCTGTATTAAAAATAAGTAATTTTCTTATTGAAAATG